GTAGAGACAGGATTTCTCTATGTTGGTCAGGCCAGCCTCAAATTCCCACCCTTAGTTGATCCGCCTGCCTCAGCCTCCCAAAAGGTTGGAATTACGTGCGTATGCCACCGCGCATGGGTTTAGACCATTTTTAAAAGTTACCATGTGGGCCAGGCAGGGTAGTTCATGACTGAAATCCTAGCACTTTGGGAGTCCAAGATGGGCAGATCACTTGAGGCCAGGAGTTGGAGAGCAACCTGGCCAACATAGTGAAACCCCATTTCTACTAAAAATGCAGGAAAATTACCCCGATGTGGTGGTGTACACCTGTAATCCCAGCTAATAGGGAGGTTGAGTCACAAGAATTACTTGAACCCAGGAGGCAGAGGTTGTGGAAATCATGCCACTGCACTCCAGCCTGGGTGACAGTGGGAGACTGTCTCCAAATTTAAAAAAAGGAAAAAAGTTAGCATTGTGATTAGGTTGATCAACATAAAGACACTGCTAGGTAACAGTTTGCCTCTCTTGATCAGCTTAAGGCTATTCAGTCAGCACTATGTTGCAAGAAGAAATCTGTATGGACTGCTCTGGAAAGCTACTTTTGCCTCAGGCTTCTGATTGAGTTTAGGCACCGAAAGACACCTGCGGTTCAGAGCTATGGAGTAGTAATTTATTACCTTGTTTTGTTTCACCTGGACCTCTGGGTATGGAATTATTTTATCTGAATTCAAAAATAGGCCTGCTGCTGTGACTCACACCTGCAACCACAGCACATTGGAAGGCAAGGCAGGAGGATCACTTGAGGCTAGGACTTCAAAACCATCTTGGGTAAAAGAGTAATAACACACACACACACACACACACACACACACACACACACACACACATTAGCCAGACATGGTGGCTCATACCTGTAGTTCCAGCTACTTATGAGGCTGAGAAGGGAGGATTGCATGACCTGGGTTGGTTGAGGCTGCAGTGAGCTATGCTTGTGCCACTGAACTCCAGCCTGGGTGAAATGCCAGACCCTGTCCCAAAAAAAGTGAAAAAAAAGCCAAAAACACTGTGGAGTGGTCCTCTCTTCAAGTATTTGCTTGCTTTCTCTAACACCACTCATTCTATTGCCCCTAAGGAGCTTGGAATGAGAATGCTTTCTTCAGGTGCCAATACTGGGGCACCTATCTCCAAACGCTGTCTCAAAACTCCAACGGGGAGCACCTAATGGTACTAGGTGCAACTTCCCTAGCACGGAGCAAACAGCAGTCCAGGAACCTGGAAACAACCGGCTCTGTGACACAAAGGACTCTGTGAACAGGAGAAATTACTGGTTCCAGACATAGCCGGTTTTAGAGGAAGGAATGGCATTGTCATCCAAAAAACACAGACTCGATTGTTTGTGACAGAAATACTGCCATAAACGCTGGTACAGGGACAGCCGACACGGAGAACTAAGGGAAACTGCTGAGAGCTGCGCCTCCATGGAGTAACTGCCATCCGGCACAGTGCCAGTGAGAAACCGGCCACTCCATGCAATGACCCGAACTGCCACGGAAATGCATCTGATGTCACCAACAAGCGGTGCTGCCAGGAGAAACGGCCACTTTTGAAGAAAACAGCTAGGAATGTCACTGAGAGACACTCAGCTCCCTGGAGGAATCAGCAGTTTGTTCCAAAACACAGCCTGATAAACCGAGAACCCCCAGAGTAGTTGCACCAAAACGGGGTCACCCAGCACCTCTGCATCCTGGGCTCTAGCAAACCTCACAGAAGCAACCGGGCAGTGCTACCACTGAGGAGCATCTTGAGCGGCAAAACTAGCAGTAATGCCATCCACGAAAGGCCATTAAGGCGTTAAAAGTAGAGGATTTAGTTCTGGGGATCACAAGCCAGGCAAACTAGACAGAAAAGCTGAGCGTTGGCAAAACAAAAATTAGTAACTATTGTTTTTATAAAAGGGCAAGTTGGCTGAAGTGTATGTGCACACACACAATAAAAACAATACATTTGGAAAAATTCATCAAATGAAAATTCAAAACTAAGCAAAACATAGAAAACTGACTCTACAAAGAAGAAAATCTGAACACTTCTAAGCAGAGTGGTTTCACAGCTGTGAGATCACTGTCATGCCTATATCAATAACTGCTTGGTTTCACCAAGACTTCTAACTAAGGGACTGCAGGCACTGCTAAACCTCTGCTTGCTACTCCTAAAAGATCTTCTTCATCGACATGCTCAGACTTCTATATTTAAAACTCAGGCATAACTAAAGCAGGATAAGTTATTATGAAACCGAAAGTTACTGGGACTAAAGTCACAGGCATGGCTGCGCTAGTACTGGTTATGACTAAATATGGACTTGCAAGAGCTAAGAAATCACATTCACAGGGGTGTTGAGAAAAGCTGCAAAGGAGAAAGGACTTACAGAATGCCTACATAAATTGGTTATGAGTAACATATAAACAAGGAACAACAAACTGTGGAAGGCCACAGGAGGCCTCTGAGGAGGAAGGCCTCTTCATGCCTCCTGTTCTGGTGCAGGGTGACCTCACTCTGTTACCATAAACATTGTGCTCGAGGATGTAAAACACCTTTGTAGCACTATGACATAGCCAGACTCCTAGGCTCCTTGTAAGGCCCACGTTCTATCCGCTGCACATAGATAATAAGCTAAAGATAACCACATGTTCTTGTTTTGTGAAACACCCACACTGCCACTGTTATCAATCCTTAGAATGGCACACCAGTTCTGGTTCCGGTTCACTGATTCAGTTCAGACTCACTGATTCACTGTACCACCACCCCCTCCCCACCATTACTCCACCACTACCCAGTAGATCAAAGTGATTGTATCCAATAAATAGAGTGAATGAGCAGAGCTTGGGGCCTTCACTGTCACCTCCAGAGTGATGAAGTGATGGTACCCTGGTCCCACTTTTTCTCTTAGACTGTCTTTCTCTCTTTACTTGGTTGCCACCGAACTTGGGGTACCCACGGGTGATGTAGGGCTGGCTCCCTACAAGGGGCACTTAGGATAGAAGCATGCACTTGTTACTCTAAGAAATCCCTAACGCAGGACTTACTCAGAATAAGATAAGTTGAACACAGAATTAAGCATTTTTATTGAAGATGAAATAAACCGATAATTACTCTAATTAAATCACAACTTGCTATACAGAGAAACCACCATTAGGGCTATCTTCTGAGTGTAGGAGGTTTAAAACACCTGACAGAGCACAAAAAGCAGCCAGGGCCAACCAGGACCCAAAGTGCCTACCGGAGCTAAACCCAGTTGATGTACCATTAACAAATTGGTAGTTCTCTTACAAACAACGCTAAACTATTGCAAAGGGAAAGATGCAGGAAGGACTGCTGGCCTTGAGACCCATGAATAAGTAGTCTTTTCAATTATTTATTTATTTTGAGACAGGGTCTGGCTCTGCTGGAGAATGCATTGGTGCCATCCAGCTCACTGCAGCTTTGACCTCCTGACCTAAGCGGCCCACCCACCACAGCCTCTGGAATAGCTGGAACTACAGGTGCGCACCACCTCACCTGGCTAATTTTTGTATTTTTTTGTAGACAGATCTCACCCTGTTGCCCAGGATGGCCTCAGGCTCCGGAGCTCAAACAGTCTGCATGCCTCTCCTGCCGAAAGTGCTGGGATTACAGCCAGGAGCCACGCTGCCCCACCAGAATAAGTAATGTTAGGAACTGGCCATCTCTGCAGTTGTATTAATAGAAGAAATTGCATGGTCCATCCATGAGAAATAACAAAGGCTGATAAACCCCTCAGTCTTTTCACCACGAATAAAATTCCCCAGTGAACTGCTATACTGAGAAAACAAAGACATTTGTTAAAAATAAAATTAACAACTAAAACTAAGACATTATAATAACGTTAAAGATGTCATCATGATGAAATAAATTTAAATGAAATAAAATTAAATGAAAACAATACATTTAGAAAGAAATAATTAGAAAAATATTATGAATGGGATTTAAAAACAAAATGGAAAAAATGAATAAATGTTAAATTTGCCAAAAACTCTAAGAAGAATTCTACATTCAGACTATAGATGTCTCAAAGTTGAAAGAGATAAAAATGAAATATATAACGAAATCGACATAACGGTTTAAAAAGCAAGGAAACTGCAAGTAGTAAGGGACCCGAAACAAGGGAGAAACATCAGAGAAAGAGCATTTAAAAATTGACAACCAGCAATGAAGGCACATTTTAATGTGTTTTTATTTTCTAGGTGGAGACCTTTGGTAACAGAATCTTTTCAAGGAGGAGAATCCGAAAGCCTCCTGTTGCTCTCTAAGGCTGATTAGCTCCGCAGATCCGTGGGCAGCACGCCCAGGGCACAGAGAACGCTGCACAACCAACGCGACGAATCCACTCCAGGCAGTCTGAGAAACCCGGGAGGGGGCGCCACCAATCCAGGGCAGCAGGGTGGCTGCATTCCAAAACGGGCCCGCTGTCACAGGCCTGGGTGTCCTCCAGTCTGTCCCAGGGCTGGGGAGGACTGCTCAAGGGAAGCGGCTGGAGTGTGAGTCTGTCGGGTTCCTCTGCCTGGTCCACCTCTTCTGCAAGTGCCTCTTGCTGCTTCTGTGTCCCGGGCCAACTGAACTCAGCGGGCTGGTCGGTACTTGGTTCCAAGATGCTCTGGACTCCGGGAAAGAGTCCGTTTTGCGGGTAGATCCAGCGTAGCCGCCAGCAAGGACTGGAAAGCAGCTCCGAATCACAGCTGTCCAGTGAGCACTCTCCCAGTACCGGATACAAAGGAAGAGGCCACGGCCCACGGTCTTCCGAACTCACAATAGGCGGAGGCTGGGGCTCTGGCGCCGCTTCGGCGGAATCCCAGGCACGCTTCACACAGCCAAGAAAATGTCGCTCCATCTCTTAAGCCTCAGACCAGGAGGAAACAGATGTTTCCGCTGATCAAGGAGCGAGAGCCTTCTGCACGCCATCAGCCTGGGTATTTATGCTCTCCGGAGCCCGTGGGCGGAGGCCAGCCAGATACTAGGAAACTCAATAGTAGCAAATGCGCGAAAATTTGTAGACAATTGAAAAACGGTAACATTGTACAGAGTGCATGGAACCAAAACGAACCGTAATTCCGACAGAAAAACAGCAAGAAAAGAAACCGAAATGAAACGGACATTGAGCAAACCTTGCAGAGAACTAGCGCTACAGAACGCAGGTATTAAAGAGCGCTTCAAGGGCCAAGAACCACCTGTTTCCGGGAAATGAGCATTTCGGAAAACCGTCCGCGAGGGCTCTGAGCTACTAAGGATCTCCCTAAGTAGAAACGCGCGTCGAACTTAGCAAGCGCCGGCACCTAGCGGATAGCGGGTGTACTGCCGAACAAACACCGTATCGGTTTAGACGCCGCGAACGGTGCTGCTAGAGAGAAACAGCGTGCTCCTAGAAAGGAGCGGTGCTTCCACGCCTACACATCCGGTCTGCAGACATGAACCGACTCTGTTTAAACGTGTTGTGACGGAAAAACGTGTTGTGGCGTTTTCATGTGTTTTAATCCGTTTTATTAATCGGTTTAATGTGTTTTAACTCGTTCTAATGTGTTGTGACAGAAAAAGCGCCGAGTAACGGCACCACGTTGTTACTGGTGCCTACAGACGCTCGGAGCAATCACCGTTCTGCACCGCGAAACGGCGTTCAGGAAGTTTCTCAGGAGATACTAGCGGTACTAGGACCGAGAAAGTAACAGCACGGAGAACTTAATGACCCCGCGAAAGGGAAAGGTCAGGTTGGGCGCAGCAACTGAGAAAATGCCGGAGTGGGCGGTTCTGGCAAACCTGCTGATACAAAAGCACCAGCTCCACAAAGGGAGCGGAGCCGCCAGGCAGAACCCGGGACCTCACACCAGCGAGGCTAAGACCGAGCTGGGCTCCCAGGCCCCTGAGAGAACGAAAGTCAAGGAGCACGAAGCTGAGACACTCAAAATTAGTAGAAAAAAATACGTAACATTTCAATAAAAATTGTAAACTAATAAAAGCCTGAAACGTAAGTAAAAGTCAAAACAAACACATCTGTAACATCGTTGTAAGAGCAGAAGACACAAGACTAATTTTAAAAAGAGCAAACGTTACAGCGAACCAACCCTACAAAGAAGAAATTACAACTATTGCTAAACGATGCAATGCCTATCATTAGAATATCTCGGTCAGATCTAAACCCCTGCAGGTTGCTCCTGTCATAATTTCCTACGATTAAAAAGAAGAAGAAGAAGAAGAACGGCTAAACGTGTTTAGCGACGACTAAAAAATCGTAGTAGCCAGTACATGCCAATTTGGTCCACAAGAAGAAAAAGCCGCGTTCGGCGGCACTTCCTATCGTCAAAGGGAGCTTGGTAAAACTGAGAAATCGCGTTCGCCGCCATTTTCTGGCTCCCATTGGAATTTAAAAAACACACAATTACAGCGAAGACGGGACTCGATATTGCAAAACCAAACTCAGTGTAAGAGCTCCCAGGCACTGCTAAACTGGTCGTCACTAAACCGAAAAAAGAAAGAAAGAAAAGAAAAGAAAGAAGGAAAGAAAGAAAGAAAGAAGCAAAGACGGAAGGAAGGAAAGAAAAAAGGAAGAAAGAAGAAAGAAAGAAAGATAGAAAGAAAGAAAGAGAAAGAAAGAAAGAAGAAGGAAGGAAGGAAGAAAGAGATGGAAAGAAGGAAAGAGAAAGAAATCGCCTTAGCTGGGAGCCAGATTTCCACAGGAGTTAAACGTCTCTTCTGCAGCTAAAGCAGTGCTTACTAGTAGGAAACCGGAACTTGGCAGGACTAAGAAACTTGACGCTGGGCTGACCCCATTGTCGTCCTGATTAGAAATCCCAGGCTACAGGAAACCGGGAGCTGCTGAGAAATGAGTCACAGAGTAACTTCGCCTTTCTGTGGAGAAACCGTGACTTCCTACGACCTAGAAATCGCAGCCAGGGCTACACCGGTGTTTGTCTCAAATCGGGACTTGGCTTGGGCTGAGAAATCACACTGCGGCTATTCCCCTACTTGGACACGGAGTAGAAATCGCAGGCACCGCGAAATCGAAACTTGCTGGGACCAAGAAGCCAGCTACGCGCTGAGCCGCCGGGTTCTGCGACCGAGACGCCAGCGGCGCCGCCCGGGGACCGGGTTCTGGAGGCCGAGCCGGCGCCCGGGGGCGGGGGCGCTGGAAGAGACTGTGCCCCGCAGCTCCCCTGTCACCCGCTCCGAGAAGCGACGGGCTCCCGCGGCCCAGCGCCGGCGCCGTCCGGGAACGCCAGGCTCTGGGCAACCGGGGCAGCTGCCACTTGGAATCTCTAAGATCCGCCGGCTGAGGGCTGCCGCCACCGAGAAGCGAAAGCGCGGAGCTGCGAACAGGAGACAACGCTCGGCCAGATGGCGGTGCCGGGAGCCCGCGAGTGACGGCGGCCGGCGGGCTTGTCAAGGACAGCAATCGTTTTGGCGCAGCCAACGGTGCTGTCACCGAGAAACCATGGACGCCGAGAAAAAAAGAGCGGTTCGGCCACCGAGAAACTCCGTGCAACCAGTGCCGTGACAGCGAAACCGCCGGCTCCGCGCCGCTGGCGAAAGAGTCAACGGGAACGCCGGTGCTGCGACCCTGACGCCGGCACTAGAGGGCCTCGGATGGAGAAAGGCACGCGCGGAGACCAGGAAACTGTGCAGAGCGCAACTAGCAGCTGACACAAGCAGAAAAGTGTCTGATCGGCTCTCCGGGAGAAAGCGCGGATCGAAACCAACAACTCCGTGCAGGAAACCGCGCAGCCACTGAAGAACGTTATCAACGTCGAGGTGGTGCCAGAGAAACACCGCGATTTCGATCACAGCCGTAGGAAACCACGGAGAAACACGCGCTGCCTCTGAAGTACATCCAGCTCCGCGCAACCAGTGGTTCTGCGGTCCACAAACCGCCAGCTGGGCTCGACTAGAAACTTCGGGAAAACTGTCATCGCACAGCGGCTTTCCTACACACAACAGAAAATCGCCTTTAGGGGGAGCACTTAAAGGTGCTGAGACCCGCCTGGGCCAGCACAAAGCGCAGAGCCGTCACGTTCTCGAGAAAGGCCGTCCTCGGTGAAACCAACCTTGCGACCCCGGATTCCACCGGCTTCGCTGGACGCAGCCGGCGAAGGTGCGGCGGAAATACAGCAGGCTCCTTTCACCGAATATTTTGGGGCCGGAGTGTGTCGGGAACACCCGCGAAGTTGTGAAACCATTGGGGCTGGGACCCAGCCATCGCCTGCCCATAGCAAATACCTGTGCTCTTGCAAAAGGTAACTTTTGGAGGAAACAAGGTGGCCGTCAGACAGCATCCGCTGACGCTGACAAAGGAGTGGCCTTGGCGATGAGAAACTGCCGGCAGTGGGAAAGGATCCGTGCAGCCACCGGCCAACTGCGGGCTCGGTGCCACCGTCTGTCGGCTCCACCCACTCTGTCCCCCACCGGCTTAGTGAAGTCTGCTGTCTTTTTTTTTCTTTCTTACTTTTCCTCCCCTCTGTCTCCCAGCCTGGTGCAGTGGAGTCATCTTGGCTTAGTGCAGCCTCTACCTCCTGGAATCCAGTGATCCTCCCGCCTCTGGCTCTAGAGCAGCTGAGACCACAGGTGCGTCCCACCACCACCGGCTAATTTTTTGGTATTTTGTTGTAGAGATACGGGTCTCACTATGTTGCCCAGGCTGCTCTCGAACTCCTGAGCTCAAGCGATTCGCCTGCCTGGACCTCCCAAAGTGCTGGGATCACAGGTGTGGGCCATCGACTCAGGCAGGTATTTTGTATTGTTCTTGCATTTCACCCAGTGCGTTGCGCAGGGGGAGAGGTGGCGGTTTAGGCGCCCAGAACCAAGCGGATCCGGTGGGTTCCAGGAATAAAATGAGTCATTCTTATCGCCAACCCCTTCCTACAAAAGAAACAGCCATCCAACCTACGTGATTGGGCTCTTCTGAGCCACCCCTCGCTCCCAGGCTCTTCACCCTGTCCAGAGCCCTCAGTATCCTACAGGAGGGGCCAACAGCTGCTTGCCTTCAAAACTGGAAACTCTCGGTCTAAGGTTCCCGAGGAGAGTGAAAGGCACAGCGTTTTCTGAGCTGAGCTTCAGGCCTCTCCCGCCGTTCCGTTCCCGGTACCTCTCCCGCCGTTCTGTTCCCGGTACCTCTCCTGAGGGATGACACGCTGTTGGAACTGCTAGTTGATTCTGACAGTTAACTCTGTCAGATTTCCTTGTTTTTGGGGATAGGAGTTGGAAGAGGGCAGGACAGAAAAATGGACTGCAAGACTACAGCACAGGAGGAGAGATTGATGGCAGACGTCTGCTCCTTCTTCAAGCCCAATGAACCTTTCACACTGCCATCCACTTTCTTATACCCTAGATCTATGAAATGGATCACTGACGTTTTCTCTGTCTTTCGGGAAACTCAAAGCAGGTAAATTTTCAAGCGCTTGAATACTTTCTCACACTTTTCAGTCAAGAGTGGGGCTATGGGCTGGGCGCGGTGGCTCATGCCGGTAATCCCAGAACTTTGGGAGGCCAAGGCGGGCGGATCACGAGGTCAAGAAAAGGAGACCGTCGTGGTCAACATGGTGAAATCCCATCTCTACTAAAAAAACAAGAGCAAAAACAAAAACAAAAATTACCTGGGCTTGGTGGCGCGTGCCTATAGTCCCAGTTACTCGGGAGACTGAGGCAGGAGAATCGCTTGAGCCCAGCAGGCAGAGGTTGCAGTGAGCAGAGATCGTGCCATTGCACTCTAGCGTGGTGACACAGCAATACTCCGTCTCAAAACAAAAACAAAAACAAACAAACAAAACCGAGTGGGGTGGGCTATAAACTCCTTTCTAATAGAAAATAAGGAACTGCCACTACCTGGAAGAAAAACGTCTTCTTCCCATAAGCTTTCACATTTCCCAAAAAATCTACACATCGAGGTGTAATCCCCTAAGAGACCTGCAGACCCTGTTAGGAGCATTCCCACGCCAACACATCATCTCCCAAAGACATCCTGAAGGTTCCATGAAACCAACTCCATCCTTTTCTGGTTGAACCTGGGCAGAGGACAGGTCCAGAGGATCCCAGAGAAGGGCCTTGACAAGTCAGGAGGCCCAATTTGGGGTCACAATTCTCACCCACTGCAAGGCCTATGCCTTGATCTTCCCCTCCCACCATACTATGTCTTCTGCTAGCTGGTTTCTCCCTGGTATTTGAAGATCCTCCTGTTGCCTCCTGGTCTTTCAGACAGGAGAATAAAGAAAAAATGGCATCGTTCCCACCTAAAAAGCTACAAGCACTTCACCAGAAGGAACTGCCCAGGCAGAACCTTTTTAAAACAAATGCTGTCCGCTGCTTCACCCTCCTCATTTTCACCCCAGCAGAGCATTTTAGCAGAAAAGCTGACCAAGAGTGGTAGATCCCTCCTGTAATCCCAGCACTTTGGGAGGCTGAGGTGGGAGGATCCCTTTGGCCTAGGAGTTCAAGACCACCCTAA